CCATCTATCTGCCCCAGAGAGGGCAATGGACTGAGGGCAGGCTACAGAGGTGTAAAACAGACAGAAACTTTCACTGTGAAATATCATGGACCACAAAAGGTACATGAGCTCATGCCTATTTTCGAATGTGGGAACATGGTTAAGCAGAGCAGAATCCACCCTCCTCCTTCTTGTTCCCAGACAATTTGTTTCTTTTTCCTGGAGGAGTGGAGACACCTCTCAGGGGAGCACTGCTCCCAGCTCTGAATGCAAATGTATTGGCAATAATGAGAAGCTCTGGGGTCTTGCAGAATTGAAGGCACTGAGATGTGGAGCGGGTGGGAAAGCTGGAGGCAGGTGCCAATCCCAGTTTGCTTGGGAAGCTCTGTGCCCTGACAGAAACAGGGCCAGAGGAGGTGGGTTGGCTTTTTCAGTGGGGACCTGAAATGCAAAGAAGTTTGTGCAGATGCATGGCCAGCCCAGGGCTTCACAGGGCAGTGCTTATGGTAGTGGATACCCTGAGTTATTTTAAAAAGAGCATGAATAAGCACACCATTAGCTTAAAATAAAGGTGTTTTTTTCTTTATTACTGATACTGGCAATGTACATCATCACAGCCTCCTTTAATGCTGCATGCATGTGGATTTCCATTCTCTAAATTCTTCATAGATATTCCGATGCAATTTAATAATTCATATCCTTATTAATCTATCCTATTACACTGTATTTTATAGCCATTAAATTCACTGACAAGGAACACTTTTTTTGGAGACAGCTGCTGTACAATATCGTGTACTACAGATGGGTATTACAGAGACGTGCTGCATTTCACATAATAAATGTCTGTGAAATCTCTGCAAATCCCATTGCAAAACTGAGGTTTGAAAAATCTTGGCCACAATAACTTCAACTTTAAAATGTCACTATAAATCCTGCTTTTATTTTTTTTTTATTTTTTTTATTTATATTTTTTATTTATTTTTTGCTTCAACGATAATTTTTCTACCCATCAGCTGATGCCTTTCCTTGGTCAGCTCTGCTTGGAGAGTTCTCTCCCTGCAGGTTTTCTCACCCACGCTACTGTGAGTGCCCCCAGCATTTTTGAAGAGCTGCAAGGAACCAACACCTTGTTATGCATTTAAGTCTCTCTTCTATGATTGGGTGAGGCTTTCTGTTTCTCAGGTGAACCTTTATTTGCTTGCAAGTGATTTTTCAGATGTTTCCGGTGGTGCTGACATCTTCTCTGTCCCATCCAGTGGTGCAGCCTCACCCCTGCATTTGTGCCTGTTGTTTGGGATACCTTGCTCGCTCTCTTTCCAATAATTTAAATCTCTTCCCTCTGTAAGAGTGGTAGTTAAATATTTGTTTGACCTGTGCTTGTCTTGAGGTCTCTGTGCAGTTTTTGAAAGGCATCACAGCCTAGGAATCCCAATGGATTTGGGTGACATTTGAGCAGTTTAACTACAAGCTATTTTATGGGGATTTGTCAGCTGCTGTGTTGCTAAGGCTTTGTTATCTGGATTCCAAAGGCTGTGTCTGACTCACCGGCAACAAAGCCCATTGCACTGGCCTTCATCTTTCCTGGAGAGCACCTCAGAGTGAAAGAGAGAGTGTGAGAGGAGTAGCTGCTCCTATTGCTCCCCTCTGTCGTTAAGGGTGGAGGGACCATGTACTGCCTTCATGATGCCAATACTCTCTGCTTTAACTGGCTCTGTGTTCAGCTTTATGCAGCTGACAAATTATATGACAGGTTAAAGATTATTCTAATCTGCTCTGCTACTCTTCTGGAGCAAGCGGAGAAGGGAGCGTTTACCATATGTGCTGTGTTATTCTAGCTAGCATATCCAACCTTGTTTATCTGTCGCCTTCACACCTCATGTTTTTCTGTGATTCAAAACTGATTTACAGCTAACTGTTTGCAGTGATTTGAACAAGAGAGGCTTGTCAAACAGACAGGAAAAAGGTTTAATTGCTGATTTCCCGTGTTCTCCTGGGGTTGTATCTGTAGGATTCCCATTTGAGTGATTAAGGAGAGAAGCAAATGGCTCGTGTAGGCAGACTTTTCTCCTGGCTATCTCTGTGATTGTCTTTGACACAAGTCAACAGCATTGGGTGTCCCAACCTTCAGCCTTTCCATTTTCTTCTTTCTGCAGTATAGATAGTCAGAAGGGATGAGTCATGTTTGAGCTGTAGCATTAGAGACTTGAAAGGCTTTTGTGCAGGGTGTTTGCTGCATTGCCAAAGTTTGGATTCCTTTTTGCACTTGTTTTACTGTTATAGGAAGCATTTTACCCTATCCTCCATAACATCTTGTGAAAAATTCACATAAATAGACTTTGCCCTGGCGGTCAGTCATTGCCTTCTTAGAAACCTGTAAGGACTGGCTGCTCCTTATCTCTGTGCTGGCAGGATGGAGAATAGCGTGTGCAGCCTGTGCAGGGAAGGGTATTCATTGGTTTTGCAATGAGTCACAAAGCCTAATTTAAAGAATTTGTGCTTAGTAATGTGACAACTCTGATTATGGTGTGTGGAATGGCGAAACAGCTCAGGGACATGTTAAGTCACATGGAGAAAAGCAGATCTTGGCTGGAGAGAACAGTGTTGGCTTTCACCCATTTTGGTGAAATGAAAGCTGTGTTGACCTGTCTTACTTGTTCAACAACTAGATTCCTAGCTGGTGAATCAGTACAGTAGACTTAGAGTTGATGAGTTAATTCACAGTTACATGCGAAGACCTCCAAAAAAGGAGGGGACAAGGGTAATGTGGATGAATGACACAGTGAGAACCTTTTAAAAAATGCTGTAGTTGAATTGATTTATGCAGCAAATTACATTAACCAGCAGAAATGGCATCACACAGCCTTACCTTTCAAAGAAGGCTGAGGCAGGAGGCAAGGTGGGAACTATGGAAAAACAGTTCTTTCACCCAATCTTGTGTCTGGTACTGATGCTTTCTCTCCTGTATGCTCTACCATTTGACTTAAGAGGTTTTGGAGGCAGTCCCTGAAGTGCGTGAAGGGTTGGGGCAGCTCTGGCCTAAAGCAATGCTTTCTGTCTTTCTCTGCATGACTGTCTGCCTGTCTGTTAAGGGTTTTTTGTAAGAATATGTCTCTGAAGTTAGAATTGAGTAGCAAGCAGTTGGTCTCGCTAGAGATGTTGTGAGTTGGTCAGCTTATGGAAAGCAGAGCTAGGGGACAGGGAGAGTAAACTTCTGTCCCCCTTTTTCTTCTGCACCCATAAAACTGCAGCTCCAGTGTTTGTTGTTTTCCTCATCTGTTCATTGTGGGTCAGGGATTCTGGATTGAAAAATTCTGATGCTGGGGCTGAGCCTGAGGTTCATAACTCAGATTTTTTTTTCTTTATGCTGCTTCTGGGGTGCCTTGTTGTCATAATGAAGTTGCACAAATGTCATGTACCTTGACTGTCCAATGAGAAGAGTGATACCTGTGTAAATTTCTTAGGGATCTAGCAGGATTACTATATCTGTTGTGTCTTTGACTTTATAATTTCAGTCTAGGTTTCCTGCTTCATCCATAATCAGGTACAGATAGATTCACAAAGAGTAGCTTTCTTGCTCTCTGTGTAAGTTTGATCCCACCCTTGAGTTCAGCTCAGGCTCGCTGGCACCGTGCTGGTTTGGAAACCACTTGTCACTGGAAGTAGCCATATTGCAATGTTCTTGGGATCATTTTCTCTCCCTAAATACCCTGTAGTTATGCCTTGTCACCAGATTTCATCCACGACATGCCTCCAGCAGCTACAAAGGGGTGTTACCTGGATGTGTCTTTGCCCTCCACAGGTATACCAGAGTGGAGTGGAAAACCTGAGTGACAGAAGATTTTTCATGTTTCCTGGTCAAATATTCTTACAGGGGCCTTCTATGTATTTTGCAACCGAACCACTGCTTTCTGCAGAGCAGCAGCTCACAGGAAAGAGTAGAACGTGCTGAGGCAGCATGTATGGACACAGCCTGGGAAAAAAGCATACACAGGGATTTTAATAGCTGATGAAAGTATTTGTCACCAGTACAACACGATGGCTCTCAAACTGGATTATGATAGAAGGCTAAAAGTTTCTTGTTTGGTTGGGTTTTTGGGTTTGTTTGTTTGTTTGATTCTTTGTTTTAACTAGCTTGTTTTAAGTAGATTCAGTGCAAACTTAGGTAGAGACAGAAAATAAATGAAGCTCTTTGCCATGATGGTTAAGGAATTCTTTGGTGCATCCCAACTTAGAGAAAATAACCTCTTCTTGGCAGTGGTTAACAAGAAAATCTTGGTACCTCTTTTTAATAGATGTGAGGAAAGTAGTTTGAAGCTGCATTTATTTTCTTCAGTCTTTAGTGGAAAAAAGATATTTTTTTTCTGGTTATCGTTTTAATTTCTTGTTCATCTTCATATCTGTTTTGTCTTTCTGCTGTGCTTTTTTGGGTGGAGCTTTTAAAATTTGAGTGTCTCAAGGAAGAAATGTGTGGTGAAATTCTGTCTTCAGCTACTTGGGGAAAAACGGTCTGAAAAATGTATTAACTTTGCTGGTATAAAACTGGATTTTTATTGAAGTAACCCACCATCAAACAAACAGAACTTTACCCTGTTCTCTTCGTTAATTTGCAAATTGACTTGTCTAGCTATGAGGCTACATAAGTAAAATACAGCAGGTTATTTTTGATTGCTTTTAATTCAAGGCAAAGTGTTCAGCACATGCCAAAGCGGGGTGACCAAAGCAGTGCTTGTCTTTTGGTGAAATGCCTAAAAAGTGAGCCTCGAATAATAAATAACAGATAAATTCTGGCTCTATAAAATTATCCTTTCTCTTCAAACAAATGTTTGGCTGCACTGATACCTCCAGGCAGATTCTTAAGTCCACGAGCAGATGTTTTAATGCTCTTATGTTTGCTTTGTCAATAATATGACGTGTCAACAGCCAGTTGCAGCCCTTCATTTACATTGCAAGCGCCAGGCTGCTTCAGGTTGGTGACTTGCTCTTTGACCTCATTCTTCCTTTGAACCTTCTTGCGTGCTCGCGAGCTGTGCCGAGGCACCGCGTCCCTCAGCCCCGCAACTGTTTGTCTTGTAATCCACAGACAAGAAAAAAGCAGGCAAGTTCCAGCCTTTCAAGAAGCTCTTTGGCAAGAGGAAGAAAAGGGAGCCTGTGTTAGACTGCGAGGAAGCCAAACTGAAGCCCAGCCACTCCTTTGGCAACGTCTGCAATGGCACCTTCTCCTCCGATGAAGAGCCAAACGGTGGTCTGAGGTAAGCGCACACGGGTCTGCTGCCAGCCCCAGCCAACGCAAGGCTTGTTCTCCCTGCTTTTAGTGGAATTAAATCTACATTCTCCCTCTGCTGAGAGGCAGCAAGTTGTACGCTGCTTTTTATGAAGCATGTGCATCTCTGTCCCTCCTGGGAACGTGACACCCGCTGCTGCAGACCCCGAGGTCTAGCGTCTTGCATGTGCTATTTGCTGGGTACATGTACAGGTCTGCAAATAAGAAATCCCACGGTGAAGCAGAAATGAATTTGAATCCAGCTCCGTGATTTAACAGAATTCCATGGCAAACATCTGAGCAGAGGTATTAATGGCATCCATGTTTTTAAAACTGGGGAAAGGGAAACTTGAACTGGCTGCTACGGATACTTTATTGTATACTTTTCCCTGCAGGGTCGTATCTCTGGGTCAGGATGGAAGTGTCCTCTTCCAGTCTGTCCCGTACAATTTTTGCGTTGTAGTTGGGTGAATAAATGGGCTGGTTTTATTCTGATGCGAACCGAATGTAGAGCAGGAGAAGGAGGAGAGGCAAGAGAGGTGCCTGGAAATCAGATCATATTCCAGTGACAAGAGAGGACAGGAGGACAGCATGAGAATTTGCTGCAGAAATGATGAAAGAAAGAAAATGCACAGAGTTAACTAGTCAGCAATCTCTAAGTAGGAACAGAACAGAAAAAAAACCCCAAATAAACCAAACCAAAACAAAAAAACCCACCCTAATAACAACAAAAAAAGGAAGACCAGATACACAAACTAATTGGGTCAGTCATACTTATTTCACTTTCCAACTGAAAGTCTCAGAGAGATTAGTTGTCTCCTGGCCAAAGCCTGCTTCTTTGGGAAAAAAGGAACTCTTTGCACTGGGGAGTGTGAAAGTAACAAAAAATCTGAGAGGATCAAAAAACAATACCAAATTCCTCTGCTCAAGAAAGAAATGTGCATCAGAAACATCACCCTGCACAGTATTTTCAATGGTGCAAAATCATAGCTGTGAAAATGTGATTTTTATTTTTTGTTTTATTTTTTTTTAAGCTTCTGGATTTTTTGTTTTATTCTGTAAAATTCTCTTTAAGTTCTAGGTTTCCCCTTTGGTTACTGCCATGCAATATTGTGCACAATTTGTGCCTGCCCCACCTTTTCAGAAAATCAAGACTGACCATAACCATACTGTAGATGGAGACATGACTGACTGCTGTTGCTTTGCATTGGCTGTGTGTATGATGCCAAGTGATGTAGGAAGTTACAGTACTTTTTGCCTCCAGAACAACTAGTGAACAAGAGCAAAACAAAGGGTATCATCTTGCTATCAAGGATTTCCCATTCAGCATAACTGAAAATGCAGTGCTGTGCCCAGAAACAAGCAGCAATATGGGAACTTGTTCCACTCCTCAACAGTGAAGTGAAGGTGTGGCTGACCCTTGTGAGACTGTTAAATGCTTGCATTTATAAACATGTTAATTTTTCTAATTAATAAAGGCATGAAACCTAAGTCTCTAGTGGAATAAACTAGACTGCGCAATTTAAATCACAAGAGATTAGCAAACGTGAAGGGGCCCACAACTCATCTGAAGTGGAAAATTTCTTTCTAATTGTGTGATTTGTGAGAGGTGCTTCTGCTTTAGCCTGCTAGAAATACTCAGTTAAAACTCCGTTTTCCCTGTCAGGCTTCATGGTGCAAGTGTGGGTGGGACTGGATAATAATTTGCAGTTTGCAGCTGGCATTTGCCCTGTTACTCATCAACAAGCATAGATGCTCAGTGCAGTGCATTAGGTCACTTTTGGGACGTTGGCTTTGCCATGCTTTTCTGTTTTCAGCAGCACTGCTTCCATCCATTGTATTTTTTTGCCTTTAGTATCATTTCAAATGTTTATGAATTGAATGCAGAGAAAAGCTATCTAAGTAAAATAATATACACAGTTGTTTACAAGTTGTCTAACTGTAAATACATTACCATGCCTTCCATTATTCATATAGAAAAGGGCAAGAGCAAATATAAATAACTAGCAGTATATTTATATAACCAAAATCTTGAGTAGTTTTATAAAACCACCCGCTTCAAACCCTTTAAGAATATACAATAACTGTATATATACAAAAGCTTAATAAAAGTTCAAATTTTACAATGAAAGTTCAGGGATGCTCCCATTCCCTTAACAGAGTTATATTTCTCCACCAACATAAAGTACATTAATTTGTTATCTGACGATGTTTCATGTGGACTTTTTGTTCTGTTTTGGGGAGGAGGAGGTTATTATTTTGAAAAGATGTTAAGGAAGAAAGCTGTTTCAGGAGGGTAGAGGAAAGAGAATAAGTGAGTATAGGCTAAATAAGGGATCTGTATTTCTTCCAAGACCTAAGCTAGTATTTCACTGGGTGCTGTATTGGCTTACAAGCCTGCTCGGAGCTAATACCTGAATCTCTAATGGAGACTGCACCTGCTGGGTGACGCAGACATACCAGGAGCAATTTAGGTAATCTGCATATGGTGTAGGTTGACTAGCTGAGTTGGAAGCAGCCTGAGAGATCTGCCTGTCCATCCTTTCTTACAGCTACTCCCTGGGCTCATCAGATGCAAATAAATTGCTTGGTATCCTGATGTATGCACATTTCAAGCTATTTATTCATCCATGTTGTTTTGCAATTCCCAGGAGGGAGGTTTGGTACTGCAATTTGTCTTCCCCTACCTTGTGAAAGACTGGAATTCTTTTCCCACTTTTAGATTGCCCTTCTTGAGTTTACAAAGTTAAAACTGTGTTCATTAACTTTCTGTCCTAACCGTGTGAGCTGGGAAACAGAAGTTCTTATTACAAGACAAGTTAAATTGCATTTGTGGAGCTTCACTAAAGTCTCCAGAAGCTTCTGTTCTGAGGCTATGGTTTGGCACTTTATAACATTTTATATTTGTCTTATTTGTCACAGGTGACACTAAGCAAGCATTATGAGGACATACCTGAAAGGGTACCCATGCGGTGCCCTACTAAAAGTTTGTCATTCTGGGTTGATGTGTAGAGGCAGCAGGGAACTACCTTTTTCTTATAGAAAAAGCAGAGTGCCCTTACTTGGGCTGAATGCAAATATTTCAAAGAACCTGGAGGTAGACCTGTCAGGTCTTTAAGACTCAAGTGTGACAGCACTGATCTTCTTCCAGGGAAAATCTCTTAGCAAACTTCAGTCTCTTGAGTGTACCTGTCCATGAAATGCGACCTCTTTATTTGAAAATCCTCATCAAGCTCTGCATAATCCCTGTAAAACTGTTCTCAGGTCACCTTCATAAAATCATCCTCATTATGAAGAAATCACCTAAGGATCTTAGTTCTCCATATATGCTGAGGAAGACTGCCAGTGAAGAAGAAGGCATGAGAGATTTCCTGTCTCGTAAACAACATTGCCCAGTATTTTCTGAACCCTTGCCAGCATCAATTGCTATTGGGACTGGACTGTCACCCATCTCTTTGCCTAGTAGAGCTGTACTAAACTGTACGGTGGTTACCATTCAGCTAATGATTCAGCTTCTTTTCTGGTTGTGGGCACCACGTGCATAAGCAGTGTGATTTCTCCAAATGTTTTAGTTCTTTGAAAATTCCTCATTTTGGCAAGCAAAATTGCTATTTGCTCTTCAACCTCTATCCTTGTTCTATTTGATCAGATAATTCAGAGTGATCGTACAATTGCACTGATTTCTTCTACAATGCTTGTAGAAGTCAAAAGCATTCATTTGCAAATATAAAGTTTGGTTTCTGACAATTTTACCAGAAGAACTACAAAATTATCTTCCCTTGACAATTGTCCTGATGTCTTGCCAGGCAACTTCAATTCTAGAAATGTAAACTGGCCATATGCAGAGCTGGAGGAAAATCTTTCAGTACTTTTTTATTATATTTGCCCAGTGTCTGCACTCGAAGGCAGGCTTTGTGTGGATTTAAGGCAAGTATTTTGCACAGTTCTCATCACTAGGCTCTACAGATAAGCAAAATAAGCAATAAACTGTTTATGGACCAAAGCCCGGGGCAAGGAGCACTGTGTGTTCCCAAGCTTCGTCAGGCATTTTATTTGTGACGGGAAGTTCCCAGGGGGGTGGCCCCAGGGTGGCAAACTGGGACACAGGGCCAAAGCAGCAGCAGCACAAGTCAGGTCTTGCATTTGCATGGAGCTGCAAGTTGTGTGAGCAGCTGTCTCCTGGTAAGAACTGAAGTCTCCTGAATTTCTCTGGGCAGTCCACCTGCCAATGCCAAGAGGGAATCTTTCTATTTGAAACAAGAACAAGGACGACCAGGGAGAAGAAAAAAAAGCATTTCATTGTCATCTTAAGAGGCCTTCATTTAGTAATTTGCTAAAGGTAATTTTTGTCAGAGGCTGGGTGGGTTGGGCAGTTTCACTGGTGGTTTGAACCGGAGTCCAAATGCCACAGACAGTCTGAAGGTGAAAAGGAGACAGTGGCTTCATACCAGCCATCAGCTTTTGTAGTGCAAATTTGGCTTCTCTCTGCTTAAGAGAGGCCAAGGGCACTGATGGAAAGAATGTCAGCGATGCATGGATGGGGCTTCCATGGGATGGGGTGCCTGCACAGCATGTTTCTAGATACTTCCTCAAATTAGTTTTTTTAGAGGTAAAATAAAGTGATCAAGGTTTGATCAGTCCATTGAGTTGTGGTATTGGTAATAAATTCCAGACAGGTGCACTTGTTTATCTAAGAGGTATTTGACCTGTAAAGTATAAATTTAAATTTTACATTAATTTTTAATTCAGTGCCTGAATGGGCACAAAGGGCATAAGCACAAATTTTCAGGCAAAGAAAAGATAGGAGGTATAGCTATCAACATGATCTCTTTAATAGATTGAAATTTGAGAAAGAAGCCTATAGAAAGTAGAAGCAAATGATAAATCGCAGAGGGATGTAAAGGATAAGGGGGAATAATGTTATGAATTCTTTTCTGATAAGAGGAGGACCAAGCAAAGAGTTGGTCTTCTGTAAGCAAGGAGGGAACG